CTACTCATGCCTACACATGCCTGGGACAGAAGAAGTAGGGAGCAGGCAGTGTAAACAAAAGATACACTGTTTCTTGGGATCAAAACAATGAAAAGGTTTTCATTCACTTCTTGGCCCATCTAGAGGGTCTGACGTAGCTTCACCTGCTGCTGTTCATCCAGGCCACAGCCAGGACATCCCTAAGTCACTGTCAACCAAGAGCAGTCTAGCTGTGCACAGAGCAAACTGTGTAACCTGACTACAAGGCCCAGGGGAGGCCACCAAAGGTAAACGATCGCAGCCTTGGTAATGGGGTGGGGGTGGGGGGAGCAGATGTGGGGTAGAGGATGGGTCTAATTACCCTAAGAGCACATGTTCTGATGTTCTGAAGGGCCCAGCACATGCTCCACAGACGTGGTCTGCATCCTTGGCCCATGGCTAAGAATCCTATCCAAGTGGACACCACCCCCTGAGAACAGGCGGTTAAGCACACAGTGCTCCAGGCCCCACCATTCAGCTACACGCAAGCCACTCAACCTCTTCATAAAACAGAGATCTAGCTTCTCTGAGAAATCTTCTTCCCTACAAGCCCACTGACCTCCACGCTCCCCAGCCTTCCCCGAGAGCCCAGGCACAGGGGGCTGGAAGGGTCAGGGCTGCGTGTGGGTGTAGGCCATTCAGCAATGGATGCCTTCCAGGGGCTCCAGCACCCCCACGGGCCCTTGGGTTTTTTCTTGTGCCACGTTCTAGATGTGCCTGCACGACCGAGGCCCTTTAATGCTTAATGACAGGTGAAAATGGCACCAGGGGGCTGTCACTGGCCAGATCTGTGACAATCTGAGGATCAAAATGAGTACTCAGAGTAATGCAGAGTAAATCTGTTGAAATTAAACAGGGACCCATGAATTTAGGCTGATGAATGGGATAAACATATATAATGGGAAAAGGATGTTCTTCATCCTCTACACACACTTCTTTTCCATTTCAGATGGAAACATGCTGACTTTATAGAGTGGAAGGAGCCACCTTTGACCAGAGTCAACATCACCAACAACAGGACAAACGGCCTCCAGGTGCCTCCCGAAGCAATGGATGGGAGAGGATACAATGTTGCCCCTGTCATATTCCTGCCCAGAACACAAAACTGTAATCACATCCCGAGGAGACATCAGACAAATCCAATTCAGGGAGAGGGAGACTCTATAAGTGTCCTGACCCTTCAAAAATGTCAGGGTCACAAAGACAGAGGAATGGTTCCAAATTAATGGCATCAAAGCAATAAGACAACTAAATTTAACGCATGACTCTAAACTGGATCCTGGGCCAGAAAAAAACTTCTGTTTTGTGTTTTTTTTTTTTTTGGCTACTATAAAGGACATTTTTGGCACAACTGGTAAAGTCTGGATGAAGTCCACAGATTACAAAACAGTACTGTCACACTGCTAATTTCCTGATTTTGAGAATTACACTGCGGTTACGTAAGTGAATATTCTTATTCTTAGGAAATACACATTGATGTATTTGAGGGTGAAAGAATATCACACCTGTCATTTATTCCCACAGAGCTCAGAAAACAGTATGTGCACAGATACAAAAGAGGGAGAACATTAAAGCGAATGTGGCGACACGCGAACAGTGGGGAACTCGGGTGGCAGACAGAAGAGGGTTTTCTGTACCATTCTTGCAACTCTTAGATGGAAGTCTGAGATTATTTCAAAACAAAAAGTTACAAAAATACGCCAGAGACTTGGAGCGGTCAGACTTACCAGACAGAGGGGGACACGGGTCACTCTGCCCTGGCGGGGTCGTTTGGGGGGCAAGTACACGGAGTCACAAAAGAAAAAGGGGAAACATGCACTGGGACTTTGCGCTCACCTGTGCCTCTCTCACCTCCTCCTTCAAGGGCTCAGACTCCACAGCTCCGTTTCATATGCTTCCCCACTGCCCTTAAGTGGACTGAACACATGACAACTATACGACACCTTCCTCTATTGCTCTAACTGAAAAAATGGGAAAATATCCTGTCAGGCTTCGCAAGGCTCATGGCAGTAAAAGACCAACACTTTAGAAAAGCTACTGTAATAGTATTAAGCAAATAAAGACACTCAATATTTACAATGCTGAAATCCATTATAAAGCAACCATTATAAAGCAAGGCGGGGGCTGTACACTGCTCAACAAGAAGTAACCCCCCCCCCACCGTGAAGACAGCAGGTGATCTGAATGCCTGACTTTCTGCTACGGCCTCCCATTTCCTCCCCAGATTTCTACCCCCAATAAATGGACCACCAGTGACACTGCAGACTCGGGATTATTTTTAACCAACAATATCAAGACAGGTGTCTGTAGCTTTAGGGGTCACTGTGTCACTATCCAGAGTCTGGTGTTTTGAACGGGTTATTTGCATAAAATCTGGAGAATGTATTTGCCTTCATTATAGAAAAATCAGGTTATAACCTAGAGCCTGGCCCTACACCTCCCCCAATATCCCCCGCCTACTTAGGAAGCTAGAGTCCCTTAAATAATTAGTGACTGCATTTTCACATTGGTTCATTTTTTTTTAAAGAGATGCAAAATAAGATTTACAACCAGAAAATAGTGTGATCCTGCGATGAAATTAACTTACATTTATTTTACCAAAAGCACTGTGAACAAACAGGTTGCATCTCATTTGAACAGACAGATATGGCCATCTCCAATATCCCCTTAAACACTGAACTGTGAAATAACACTGGGAGAAGAGGAGGAGAGGAAGGATATAATCTACTAGACACTGTTCTCTCACCTCCCATGGACAGGCAAGGCAATGGAAACAACCCCACAGCTTGTGTCCCATTTGCACGTGACTAGAACTGCCCACCTCTTCAGCCTATGCTATGCACCAACCCCCACCCACGACACACCTGGCCCATGTCTTATCGCTGATCACACAGGCCACCATGGAGGTGCATCAACCAGGTCCATCTGGGCAGACCCAGGGCGGAACCTTATAGAGTCACCGATAGCCTGTGTAAGTTTAAAGAGAAGCTCTTACACAATATCCTTACAAGACATCTAGCTCTGTGGCCAAAGTCTTAGTCCCTCAGAGTGGAGCTGTGTGGGCTCTTGGTGTCCAGAGCTTCTGGACTCTGAAGGCACCAGGGCCCAATAGCCTCCTCTCTTGGGCGGCCCCATCCACGTCAGATCTGGCCCAAGGACATCTAGGAGCCCCTTCAAGATGGAGAAAGAGGCGGGCCCCGCATGCTGGTCAGTTCGCTGCTTAGGCTCATCGTGAGAGGCCACTCTGCCATCTTTTCCTGCTGAATTATGGACATGTCCCCCAGAATCAGCCTACCCTCCTCAGTCAGAATCAGCCTCCCTACCCCAGCATGAGGTCGTCATGAATGCACTGGGGCCCTGCTTCTGACCAGTGCCTCCTGGTCCACCAAGAGGGGTCAAAGTCCAGTCACACACAGGAACACCAAAATCCCTTCAGGGAAACCAAGGCAAAGCAGCTGGGGGGGCGGTAGGGGGAGAGTAACTGTAGTGGCAAATTATGAAACAATCAACCTTGCAAAAACAATTACCATTTCAGAGCTAGGTTGGAAAGGAATTTATACACCGTAAACGGCAGATGTAGGATGCTGGATATTCTTGGCAGCTAAAGACGGCCACATAAGAAATTCCTAAACCCATTCATCAATGTGACAGTTCTCATTTAATAACAGAATCATACTACAGCACATTTCCCATCAAACACACACACCCCCATAGGAAGGTATGAAGAGGATCCAATGTGAGTTTTCAGAGCATCCCTGGCTCCCTTACAGAGACCCTATACTGAAGGAATAAATGAAAGACCCTCTGCAAATGGGAGGATGTCTCCATGTGTGTCTAAAAAAAGCTTGAAAGGCATTGCATGGACAGGAAAACAAGAAGGACTCAAAGCAATAACAGGTAACATCCACTTACTGAGCAACAGCTAGCTAAAAAAGAGACCAACATTTAAAGCAGGACACAAACACTGGGGTATTCTAAGCATGACCTCTCCTTTCAGAAGAAAAAAAAAAAGGTTCAAAAAAAAAAATCTTGAAGGGATATTTAGACGAAGCTGTAACGTTCAGAAAAAAAAGGAGCCAGAAGACCAGTAACATAGTAAGAAAGAATGACAGTAACAATTACAGCTTTTTCTACAAAATAAGATGTGTCTTCTTTTTGGATAAATCAACAGAAATTGCCTCATACTTGGTTGTTCGGAAAAATGTAAACAAGCCAAAAGTACGTTCTATCACATCTTTGTTAGTGTACCCTTTACAGGAAGTACTCACATACGCTCATACCAGCCCTAATTCCCAGAGTTAAAGCCTACACGTTTTGGAAGTCTTCCGTGGGCAAAAGGTGTCCAAATGGTAATGGCTATTGCCAATGGGCAAAACCAACAAAACACACTGTGTCTACAGAAGACATAGGGTTGGTTTGTTTTTTTTTAAATCAACAGCACACCTTAAAATGTAAGTGGCAGTCAATTCAGGGTATAAAATTTTTATGCCCCAGATCCCAGACTCCTGGTTAATGGCCTCCTGACAGCATTCAAGGACAGCACCACGGACAGAAGGGGGTGGCTCCCCTGCTCTGCCCGTCAAACATTACAGGACTACTGCCGGCATTGCGCCCCTTGGCTGAATGAGGATGGAAATTTTAATAGGTCTTTACCTTTGACCCCAACTGCCCAAAAGGAATGCAGAAACCCTCTACATGGACTGAAAATTACGTTACTATTTATGTGGGAATATGTCAAAGCAGGTCCATAACCCCTTTCTTAGCATGGATGTCCCTTTGCCACCTTGTACGATATTCTATGTAATTACCGTGACTTAAATTCATCCATAAAACATTTTTAAATGGAAAATGGGAAAGGAGAAACAATGGTGGGTTCACACATAGGTAATACCTCGCATTTCCATTATTACTAGTCACCTTAAAAAAAAAAATTGTGGGGAGGGGGAGGGTGTGAGGAGAAGGGGTAAATAAAACATCATTACCCTCCTTGGGTAATATGCATTAAATTCGTCTCCAATACGCCGCAACTCTTGCGCAATCCATATCTCCGGGCGTATATCTGCAGGTACAGCCTGAGACTGCCTCATGGAAGCTGCATCAGAACAAACAGAACAAAAATCACATTGTTTTCCATAGATCATTTAGCACGTTCTAGAAGCAAGCCCATCTCACACACTCTGTTTTGTTCTTGGAATCTCCCTAACTTCAGGACTGTCCTACCTCAATTTGGTTAAAGAGTGACGGATAAAGAACTGAGTTTTTCAAAACTGGAGACTCAGAATTGCAAAACTTAAAAACGTCCCGGCCAATTAATTACATGCTCCCATTTCAAAATAAATTAACACAAAAGTGGTACAATAAAGATGACCAAAAGAAAAAAAAATTCATACTTGAAACACAGAACACAAAAATTCAAGTTGTCAGTAAAGTAACTACTCTGATCTTAACACAAGGTAGAATTCCTAGGGAAATTTCAAACGTCACACAGGAATTGGAGATGAAGTGGTTGTCCTATCTAATGCTACAGAATAAGGGAAAACCTGAGAATCAGCAGGCGACCTGAATGAGCTCGTTTCTATGGGAGCAGGTGCAGTGACACCGTCATTTACAAGTGCTACCCTGTGGCCAAGTTAAGGCATACCTGTGTGTTTTTTCTCCGTATTAATGCGGCCCATAAAGGTGGATGGGATTCAAGTCTGCAAACCCCACATGGGGAGAGGAAATGTTTTGGGTGAAGGAGCAAAGGCATTTTTGAAAGAAGAAAGAAGAGGGAGGTGTGCCTTTCCATTAAGCTGTCACTAACATTCACACCCAGTCCACTCATCTGTTTGTTGCTGAAACCATTTAAAAGCCATGTGAAGGGGAGCAAAACTGGGAGTTGTCAAAAGATCCCAAAAGGCACCAGGAAGGTGGCATTCTCCACACTCAGGAGAAAATGGTTTGGCATTGTGGGCACGGGAAAAGAGAGGAGCTTCTTGGGCTTGTGACTTGTTAACTACTGTTAAGCATGGGGACACTGTACTCACAATTAGACACACGTGCTATGTTCTGACCACAGCAAAATATTTTAAAAACCGGTAACGATCAGATTTCGCAATACTATGCATATGGCTTTCTGTTTTGTATTTCTGCAAAAATATTTTGTATGTGGGGTTTCTGAATTTTATCATTGTAAGTTGATTCGCAGCTCTATAAAAGCACTTAAAAGCGCACTCTGAAAAAAAAATAAACTGAGTTTTTACCAAGTCTTCTCAAAACTCTTGTCCCATCTTCTTTGCCCCCCAACCCCCACCCACAGGAATGCAACAATGACCCCACACAAGGAGGGAGTGCCCGAGAGAGGATGGGCACTGAGTGTGTGTGTGTACATGCGTGCACATGTATGTGCAAAGAATGCACATGGATGCTCTCCAGAATTATCTGTGCTCTGTGAGTAAGCCAAGGGAGGATTCCTAAAGGAAGCCCTAGGGGAGAACGTGAAGGCTGACCACAGAGAAACTTCTAGGATAAGCCAGGCACGTCCCCTGAATAAACCCCCAAACACATAGAAATTACTTTGGCTGTATCTTTGCCACACAAATAGTTTTTATCATTACTCTGTAAAAGCCTATTAAAATTAAATTTTAAATGGCTAAAACCGGCAGGAAACAAAATTTCAGGGTAGACGTGATACCAGGTGGTGATATAATAGTTCACTTCCTTCTTTTGGGTTTGCAGTGCTTTAAAGATTTAGTCTGTCAGAGGTACCCAATCATTACTATTCTTTTTATACTATCAGCAATCAAGTGGTTTTTTATCCCCCTAACTTCAGAAGCTGTTAAAAAAGTCAACTCATCCCTGAGAGAAAGGAAAGCTCTTTTCTTAGAATGCCTACTACACCTCAGAGCTTGAAGGTTTGGTGCGAGTCATTTCTTACCATCCTGCTAACCAGCCCCGCAGGGACACAGCTGCCCCATCCACAGGTGACCAGACTAGCAAGCAGGACACTGTGTGGCCACCTTCAGAGCTGCCACACACCCTTTCTGGGCTTCATTCAGAGCCCCCACTTGTTTCTCACTCTACAAGGCTCTCTTGAAGAGTAATCTGCTCTCAGGGGCACCTGGCTGGCTCAGTGGGGGGAGCATGCGACTCTTGATCTTGGGGTTGTGAGTTCAAGCCCCAGGTTGTGCATACAATTTACTTAAAAATAAAATTTAAATTAAAAAAAGGGTAATCAGGGGCGCCTGGGTGGTTCAGTAGGTTAAGCGTCTGCCTTCGGCTCGAGCCCCGCATCGGGCTCCCTGCTCCTCAGGAAGCCTGCTTTTCCCTCTCCTACTCCCCCTGCTTGGGTTCCCTCTCCCGCTGTGTCTTTCTCTGTCAAATAAATAAATAAAATCTTTAAAAAAAAGGGTAATCTGCTTTCAATCCTAGAGTCAGAAATGAAAAAAATACCAATTATCCAAACAAAATGTGTGAAATATAGACTGTGTGTCTTAAAAAGACGGCAGACAGGTTAAAAACAACCGGCAAGTTACCCAGTGTTTAATCAAGACATTCACTAATATACCCAACGAATACAAATGCCCATGTGCCAGGCACTGTTCTAGGAGGTGCTCTGGGTACAGCAACCAAACAGGCCAAGCCCTGCTCCTGTGGAGTTTCCATCCTTGTGGGTTAAATTTCAACATTTAAATGTTAAGTTTTTCTGGACACGACACTACCTGTTTACACAGGTAAACTTTTTACCTGTTATAACACGAAACAAAAATAACTCCCCCAGTTAATTTCCCCCAACTTGGAGATGAAGCCTACTGCATTCTACTTAACACACTTACTTTACTTACTATGCGTGTGGTTTAGAAGTTTCTGCCTGGCTTATGCTTGGGCTGGTAACCATCAAAGGAGTCAGTCTGTGTCAGAAGTTGGCTTATCATCCAACTAGCACCTAGTGAACATGTCAACCTAGCCAGCAGCTAAGAAGGAAATATGGACCCTTGGTGGCCAAACCGAACCTGTTCTTCTTAGAGATAAATGCTCTGCCGTAATTTAGTGAAGGAGGCAAAGGAGGTAAGTAAAGGTTTCTTTTCTAGGCAAGAACAGTTCGGTAGCTTAAATAAACATACAGACACAGACATATTCCCAGAGTATGTGGCAGTAAGACACAGGTGGGAGGGGTGTCTGTGGGAGGCCCGGGAGGCTGCCTGCTCACAGGTTTCCTAGGCAATTCTGGTGCAGATGCTCCACAGACCAGACCCCGAGAACACTGAGCAACAGGCGAGAAACCTTTGGGGATGTCCTGGAGTTTTAAGTAACCAAAGATAACAGATGAGACCCGGCTAAGCAGACACTGACCGGTCAGAACAACAGTTTAGAGCTCTCTAAATGTACTGAGGTGTATTTTTGTTTAAGTTGACTCAGAGAGTAACAACACAATATAATCCAGTAATAACAATAGAAATTAACTTTCGCCAAGGAGACTGATCTGCCTGGACTACTCTTATATAGCATGTGTCACCATTTGGCTTCCAAAGAAACTGGGGCTTTTTGTTCTTGTTCCTTAAATCTGTAAAGCTAAAATGAATGACCATCATTCATCCTGCAGTAACACCTACCTAACATGTCCACAGAATAGACAATTATAAAGTAAGCTTATTTAAGACAAAAGTTCTTTTTTGAATATTTTAAAAGGCATCCTATCCCTGTATTTTAAAAGGGTACTACTCTTAATCTAAGTACAGTGAGTTTTTCAACATAAATTTCAAAGATTACTTCTGAAGTGACAAAAATATCTTCTCGCTTGGGGGTGGGGGAAGCTTTTCTTAACTTCATCACTAGTTTAATCTTAGTGACTGCCCTATTTGGCTTCATGTCCCATGAGAACCCACCAAAACAATGGGGTCTGGCTGACCCTAGAGAATGAGTCTGTCAGCCCCATGGCAGTGTTGGTCAAAGCTCAGATTCATATGCTTAATTCTGTGCCACTGTTACCCAGAGCGTGAACCACCACAACGGTGAAGGGTTCCACAGACTGGTGTCTAATGCTGCACCTGAAGCAGGTGGGGCTCAGGAACAGGGAATACTCAACACACTGGTCTACCCTCACTCTCATAATTCTACCCATATACTGACCCGACTACACCCATCATGATAACATAGTCCACCTATCGAAAAGATAATTTACATTTACATTTCTAGTAAGTATCAAGCACAAATATTTTACTTTCCATCTGCAATATGCTTCACAACCGTAAATGTGGAGACCTGATCAATAAAATGGGTCTCTATTTGAAACAAAAACTCTTATTACTAGTCAAGAAGATAAAAATTTTAACTTATAAGGCAATTTTACATGCACATAAAAAATTCCTGCAAGGGAAAATTCTGGGGAGGTGTCTTTTTTCCCATAAAAAAAGGTAGTTTCCGCATTTAAGAAAATCATGTCACTCCATAAGCCTGACACTAACACTTAGGGGAAAAAAAGCAGAATAAAATATACACTGATCTAAATGTAAAGCCACCCCACAGCAGTAACCTAAAGCCCACAGAAGGCCAGCTCCACTCCTGCAAGCACCAGACTGGGTTGGGGGAACCTGCTAGGTCCAGACTGTCTAACCAAAGCCACTAATCAAAAATAATACAACTGTGTCAGACACAGGCAATTCTGTCAAAAGTGTGAAATGTTAGCTGAATTTTCACCAAAGCTCGTAGAAACAATCTTTTGAGATCCAGAATTTCCTGGTGCCATTATCTCCTAGAGAAAAAATACTTAGGTCTAATTAATTCATTTTTCCATACCAGGGTGGGGGAGGGGGAGGGATGGAAAGGAGGACATTTTTTAACGTCAAAGAACTTTGAGTTACGCAAAGACGTGTGGTATTTAATTAACAGACTGTTCTGGTTCCGCTACAGAACATTTTCCAACCCATATGGTAATTTCAAATCTTAGAAGCTTAGCAATTGAAAAAATTAATGTCGTGGTTAAGTGGCTGATAGTGAAATCAGGCTGGGGCTTTCAGAAAGGGTTTTCTGTAGCACCGTCAGCTAGGGTGGGAAAATGGAAAAAAAAAAAAAAAAGCAAAAACAAAACAAAAAAACCCCTCGAGATTGTCAGTT